AATCTATCTATTCGATGTGGCGTGGTCGGCAGGCACAAAGAAAGTGAGACAAGTCAGGGTCCCAACCCTGACAGAGCCACAACGCTTTGGAGATGGGACAATAAAACAAGGAAAGTGAGACAAGAATAGCTAGCGTCGAGTCAATGATTCCGTAAACGTATAGACAAAGACAAGAAGATACGGATAAATGTACAAGGCCACACGATCAGAAAATTCAGAAGAGGACAACTTGAGATAGAACAGTATTCATGTATCAGGGTGTCCTCAGTGTAAATCTTTATATCGATACTGTTTATTTAGTCGTTACACATCATAAAACTGTCATGAAAATATCCGCTCTGATATTCAATATAAAAGTTTGTATATAATAAGCTATATAATAGGGTTTCAGACAAGGTTGTTACTCATTTCCCCTTTTCTTTCAATTTACAACCACATTCAGGCGGCGATATGAGAACGTTCCACCACATGGAATTAGCTGATTTTTGGTACACATATGAAACAAGTAAAGCTCTATCCGATTTTCTGATGGAAATTTGCATCCAAAACTATATAACGGGAGAAAATTGCAATTTTATGGCATTTTTCTTCATAATTGTGTCTCTGCAAGTGCATTTTCATCCGAGAATATTTTTTTTTATGTTTTATGAATAAACACGATGTTTTGGAAATATTTATCAAAAGAAATTTATACTATGTTGCGAATTACAATTTCGAGATAACCTTCTTTTATTTACGAACTTATGTCTTTGATGCTGAAATTGACAACTTTATAGAAATACATTTTCACTGAAATTATGAAATCTTGGTGTCGGAAAGGTGTAAAATTATTCTTCGGAAAAGAAAAAACCAGTAGTTGAGCTAGATAAGAAATTATACGGGGGCAGGCTCCTATGGAGAATTAACATTACTGGAAACAGGCCCTTTGATATGTTTTGATGAGTTTGCTTTATATTTAACGTTATATATATAAGGTCTCAATAGTAATAACTACAGTATGATCCAATATTGGTACTGGAGCAAACAAATATTCTTGGATGCATATTACTTTTAAACAGATATATAAGCAGAAAAGAAATAGTGACAAAAGAATTTGTCAAATAAGAGTCCCTTATTATTTGCTTATACAATGTACATGTATAAATAAATGACAGAAGCCTGCACTCTTGCTTTTTTTTATTAATAAAAAAGTTCATTTGTATTAACGATACATGTATTCTCCAATCCAAAGCTTTAACAATTTTACAAAATTAATACAAATGTACTATAATATATGAATATCTAAAGTTAATCCTGGATGGCACTTCATTCAACAATTTTAGAGGATTCAAGGTCAGCCATTATAACATTATGGAGTTATCTAGCATGGTAGGATTTGAAGAATTAATTAAACTTATGACAAAAAGGCACAAAGGACAAAAACTACAGGGCTAACAAAAAAAAATTCACATTTCACAAAAAGATACCTGTATCCTGGAATATCATTATAGTCCATTTTTGCTGATTATTTCCCATACTAGCAGCAGGGATGTCTCTAAAAATACTGATATACATGCACTATATAAATTGTCATGGAAGCATTATATTATCGAATATACAAAATACTGGTTCATTTACTTCATTTGACATGTACACAATAAACTTTGCAATACTTTTGCCCTTGTATATCTTAATTTTTATTTGATGACCATTCAATACATTTTATTCAAAGCCATAACAGTGAATTGTGAACAGGAATATACTAAAACCAAAAAAAAAGAAATATTGGCACTAACTACAGCATCACAAGTCTAAAATGATGCACAAGCACAAGGTCAGTCACAAAAAAAAAATACAATTCAAATAATGGAAATAAGTGTTTTTTGTCATCAGCAATATAACTACATCATTAACTATTTATAAGGAAATATCAGTTTCCACTATGAATGTTCAAAACATTGAATACTTTACCAGGGAAGATTATTGCATCTTCGACAATGATATGTTTTGAAAGAACATATTTGAATATGAAGGTAACACACGACCTGAACAGACTTATTTCATAAGGAGTTGTATAAATGACTACCTGCGAGTACAAAATAAAAGGGAAAAAAACTAACAAGTTTATCCAACACAATATCTAACGGATGTTTTGGTGAAATGATGTAGTTCTTTTGCCCACTGATGTACAAAATACATATATCTGTAAATTGCACACATACGTGTCTGTTAACTATAATACTGTACAAATCAATGTTTTCTCAATGTAACTCCATTTAGGAACATTTTTGGAAAATCTAAGGTTCCTTAAAGGAAACAGAAACATATTGGAATCATATATCTATTTGTCCCAGTTTAATTTTTGTCTTGTTTCTTCAAAAAAACGACAAAATGCTTATTCAACAAAAGGGTGAGAATTATGATGATGATCAGCACTTGTTTGGGGTAATTTACATTTTACTACATTCATTGCCAGAAACAATACACAACCATGCATTTAGCATTTTAACTTTTTGGTGACAAACTTATCCGTTCTTGTTCCTGGAACGAATATTTAGTATTGAAATTTCATTAACAAATCTCAATAGTCCTTATCTGTTTATCTGAAGGGCAATGGATTTGCATGGTTCAATTTTTTGTGCATTGTTTCTGGCAATGAATGTAGTAAAATATAAATTACCCTAAAGAAGTGCTGATCATAATCGTATAAATTACGGTAGAGAAGAAATAACTTGTTTAACAAGAGGGCAATTAAACCCTGAATAATGTTTTAAACCATGAAATGGCTCAAGTTTATCAAAAGGAAAATATTAAGCTTTATAGTTATTATCTATCAGGTTTATCTCCTTTTTGTTTCTATGCGCTTTCATGTCACCGGTTATGCCTCATTTGCAAATTAATTTATAACATGCATGTAATCGTGCAACAACAAAATAAAATAAGCTTAAATAAGTGTTTATTTATAACCATAACGCTGGTAAAATCACGACATGACACTGAAAATTTAAATTATTTTTTAACTTGAAATGACTGGTTTTTTTTTTCAATTTTGATTATATGCAGAAAATCAATACCAAATTTAACATAATACAATTAGTGGTATGTATTTAGATGTATCGACAGACATTGGTCTCTTTTTCGTATTACTGGCCAAACCTAAATTCAGGATTATCCCACTATTTTTTCTGTCTTTTAAAGAGCTCAGTTTTGTATACATAATAGTATGTCAAGTTTTTGAAAAATACCAGTATATAACTTATATTTCTGTATATTTAGTATTTGTGCCTCAGAGACATAGCACATATCCCAATATAACCAGATGTTTATGTGTGTTACAATGTATGTATCTTCAAATAGGACACTAAACATTGGGATGGGGATCTGTGCCAAACGTGTTTTGGCTGTATAAAAATGACGACAATTCATCTTACATACATGTGTAATGAAAACATTTCATTTATTTAACAAACAAAAAAACTCAATCTCAATGGTGTACACCTGCACCTATCAGTGATATGTAAATGTTTGTGACCAGCTTCAAACACAATTAAAACTGTCAATGATTTTGATATAATTTATACAAAGATAAATGGCCATATGATATAGGATTCACTGAAACACATATGAAATACTTAAGGGCACACTAACAAAATGATAAGATTTTAAACAAAATCAGTTTGACAAATATCTCATCAGCCTCAATAACCCTTCTCATCTCATCAGCCTCAATAACCCTTCTCATCTCATCAGCCTCAATAACCCTTCTCGTCTCACACAATAACTCTACCGTCACATCACAGTACTAGTGTTTATCTAAACAAAATTCCTCACAATATTACAGTGTTCATCTAACACAATAACTTTTTCTTCACAATAGAGTACCAGTGTTTATCTCACACAATAACCCATCCTAGATATCACAGTACTACAGTGTTCATCTCACACAATAAACCCTCATTTACACCCCAGTATTAGTGTTTATTTCACACAATAACCTTTCCATCACACCACAGTACTGCAATGTTCATTTCACACAATAACCCTTCCATCACACCACAGTACTACAATGTTCATTTCACACAATAACCCTCCCTTTACACCACAATACTAGTGATCATTTCACACAATTACCCTTCCATCACACCACAGTACTACACTGTTCATTTCACACAATATCTCTTCCATCACACCACAGTACTACAATGTTCATTTCACACAATAACCCTCCCTTTACACCACAATACTAGTGATCATTTCACACAATTACCCTGCCATCACACCACAGTACTACACTGTTCATTTCACACAATATCTCTTCCATCACACCACAGTACTACAATGTTCATTTCACACAATAACCCTCCCTTTACACCACAACACTAGTGATCATTTCACACAATTACCCTTCCATCACAACACAGTACTACACTGTTCATTTCACACAATTACCCTTCCATCACACCATAGTACTACAATGTTCATTTCACACAATTACCCTTCCATCACACCCCAGTACTACACTGTTCATTTCATACAATTACCCTTCCATCACACCACAGTACTACACGGTTCATTTCACACAATTACCCTTCCATCACACCAGAGTACTACCAAGTTTATCTTACACAATATCCCTTCCATAACACCACAGTACTACAATGTTCATTTCACACAACTACCCTTCCATCACACCACAGTACTACCAAGTTTATCTTACACAATATCCCTTACATCACACCACAGTACTACCAAGTTTATCTTACACAATATCCCTTCCATAACACCACAGTACTACAATGTTCATTTCACACAATAACCCTCCCTTTACACCCCAATACTAGTGATCATTTCACACAATTACCCTTCCATCACAACACAGTACTACACTGTTCATTTCACACAATTACCCTTCCATCCCACCACAGTACTACAATGTTCATTTCACACAATAACCCTCCCTTTACACCACAATACTAGTGATCCTTTCACACAATTACCCTTCCATCACACCACAGTACTACCAAGTTTATCTTACACAATATCCCTTCCATCACACCACAGTACGTATATACTACAGTGATAATACACTTTCACTTCCTGACCAATCAAGATCAGGTGGCAGGTTATCACTGAATTGAACATTGTCCTGAAATAGAATAACATATATTCTTTTTATACATATAATTGATTTCATTTGCCCTATTATTTTATTTAAGTTACTAAAATTTCACCCTTAAGTTACGTACTCTTAATTTTGTTTCATTAAGCTTAACTCTCACATTGAATATTTTTAATCAGAAATAGAGTAGAGAAACTGGCTAACATTCAGAACTTCAAGATTAAAAATCTGTATTTCCTGCAACTAAAATTTCTAAAGAAAGATTTTTCTAAACAAAGATTTTTTAAATATTCTATATTTTGTTTAAATAACAAAGTTGGAAGATGTGTAATGAAGGAACATTTAACATTTAACAATACTTGTTACCATGAACAGTAAGAAATATACAGTGGTATCTCAGGGAAATAGGAGAGAGCTACTTCAAAATATTGTCATGTGACAAACACTGAGTAATGATGATAATATGTAACGGCTTACCCTGGTATTTATTGTCCGCCTCTTCCTCCTGTGTAGATGTGTCTGCTGTATTGAGTTGTCGAATGGACAGGAATGTTTGGATCTTCTCGGCTTCTTCCATCCATAGATGAGTCTGATCAAGCAAAAAATAAATGAAGGAGTTATTATCAACAAGCAATAAATGCATGAACATTCTGCCAACTTTTTACCTCTGCCATCAAAGTTAAACATTTAATAAAATTCAGCAAATTTTATCACTTACCACTTATTTGTTGAGCACATTATAAAACACATACAACATTTACTACCAGGTGTTCCTTACACGTGAACAAATATCAAAATCAAAAGCTCCTTTCTAGTTTGACTGTATATATTGATGCTCAGGTAATTCTTGTCAAATGGTTGTAATAATGGAAGTAATTACACTAGGTACAGTAAAACTAAAAGGAGAATATGCTAGTTTTAACTTGTCAGATATACATTTTAGGGTACTGTTTATACATGAACCCCGGACCTGTCATGAAGAAATAACAAAGTTGTTACTTTAAGAACTTAAATTTCAATATTTTAAAACTGATTTATAATCATAAGAATCAATTTCTTACCTGTTTTCCTAATAAGTCTTTTCTTTTTCCCTTTGATTCTTCTATAAAGAAAAGAACATAAAAAATACTTAAATACTACAAAATGATCATATAGGAAAAACAACACAAAAAAACTATTGCATAAGTACAACTATATGTACTAACTAGAACACTGACAGGTCAGTAAGGGCCCCGTCTTGTGGCAATATATCCCCCATAATCATCAAAAAGTAATCAGCCCATATAGCTGAGCTTGACGTTTGACATTTGGACTTCAAAAAGAATCGCAAGGAAGCAAAATATACATTTTACATGTACTATGATGTGAGTCTTGTTTCCTCCCCCCTCCATATTTGCTGGGCTAACAGAAATGTAAATACCGGTGCAATACTCATTTGTTACCTTTGATTTGTTTTATTTCACCTTATATACCTCCTCCATCAAGAGCCAGGGTCAAGGTCAGAGATCCACTTTGTCTTTGACCTTTCGACCCAAATGACATTGACAATTAACCCAGTGACCCTGATCTTTGGTCAGTTGACTTATTCTTTAATTCCCACCTTGACCTTGACCCTTTGGCCCCCGTAACCTGGACCTAGGGTCAGTTGACTCTGTGTTAAGTTCTGAACAAGTTTGCTACATAATAATATAAAAGTAAAAATCAGTAAAAAGATACAATAATTGACCTTGACATTGACCACGTGACCTTGATGTTAAGTCAGTTTACTCTTTTTTAAATTCGGACCAACTTTGCTTCATAATGTCATAACAAAATGTTCATCAGTGAAAAGATATAAAATTTGACCTTGACCTTTGACCCAGTGACCTTGCCCTTTGGTCAAATGACTCCTTGTTTAATTCCAACAAACATTTCTTCAAAGTGTCATAATGAAATATTCACAAGCAAAAAAATACTAAATTTTACCTTGACCTTTGACCCAGTGACCTTGACCTTTGGCCAATTGACTCCTTGTTTAATTCTGAGCAACATTGCTCCAAAGTGTCATACCAAAATGTTCACCAGTGAAAATATACAAAATTTAACCTTGACCTTTGACCTTATGACCTAGACATTTGGTCAGGTTGACTCCTTGTTTAATTCTGATCAACTTTACTTCATCATGTCATAACAAAATGTTCATCAGAGAAAATATGCAAAATTTGACCTTGACCTTTGAATCTAATGACCTTAACCTTTGACCTCAACTTTTTACCTCAGTGTGTCTCTTTGTTTAATTCCGATCAACTTTGTTTCATGTCATAAAATCCTCATTTGTGAAAAGCTACAAAATTTGACCTTGACCCCTGACCCAATGACCTTGACCTTTGGTCAGTTGACTCCTTGTTTAATTCTGAGCAACATTGCTTCAAAGTGTCATACCAAAATGTTCACCAGTGAAAATATACAAAATTTAACCTTGACCTTTGACCCAATGACCTTGACATTTGGTCAGGTTTACTCCTTGTTTAATTCTGATCAACTTTGCTTCATCATGTCATAACAAAATGTTCATCAGTGAAAAGATGCAAAATTTGACCTTGACCTTTGAACCTAATGACCTTGACTTTTGATCTTGACTTTTTACCTCAATGTGTATTTTTGTGAGCTTAACATCTTGACCAAGTTTCATGTACATCGGTCAATAAATACCAAAGTTATCAGCCAGGAACAAAATTTGTGGACGGACAGACAGACAGACAGACAGACAGACAGACAGAGTGATTACTATAGGGCACCCGTATCTCCTATACGGGGCCCTAATTAATAACATGCAATGTCCTGTAACAGTGGAAGTCTACCACTACCTTAATACATAGTGTAACAGTTAAAATTTACCACTACATGTACTTTAAAAATACTGAACTGTAGAAACTTACCACTTTATGTGTACTTAGATACTTTGCCATTGGAGAATTTATTACCACTACTTCAATACTGTAGCAGTAGAAAATATAACCACTATTTGCTTGAATACTGTGTTCAATGTAACAGTGGCAATTTACCACAATTTACATGTACATGTTGCAAGCCTAGTGGAAATTTACCACAATTTACCTGTACATGCTGCAAGCCTAGTGGAAATTTACCACAATTTACCTGTACATGCTGCAAGCCTAGTGGAAATTTACCACAATTTACCTGTACATGCTGCAAGCCTAGTGGAAATTTACCACAATTTACCTGTACATGCTGCAAGCCTAGTGGAAATTTACCACAATTTACCTGTACATGCTGCAAGCCTAGTGGAAATTTACCACAATTTACCTGTACATGCTGCAAGCCTAGTGGAAATTTACCACAATTTACCTGTACATGCTGCAAGCCTAGTGGAAATTTACCACAATTTACCTGTACATGCTGCAAGCCTAGTGGAAATTTACCACAATTTACCTGTACATGCTGCAAGCCTAGTGGAAATTTACCAATAACAAATTAACTACTTGCATACTATAATAGCCAAAATTTAGGTACATACAAACTGTAAGAGGAAATTTAACAAATTGAACTTTACCACTAATTACACATAGATTGATGCCATGTAAAAAGCGTGGCATTATTTATCACTGTTTTAGCATAAAAAATAGCTAATTTTAAGGAGATTTTTGTTGTCACTTTTAAAACCATGGTGGCAGAGGACTTTTTTCCAAACCATGTTTGAGGATAGCAACTTCCAAGGATTAGTTCATAATTTCATTTGAACAAAACCTAATAGGATTGATCTTGATAAGATAGCAACCATATAAGGTAAGTTAACCTAATATCACATATTAATTCTGTGCAGGGGAGAAAATATGTAACTCAGCAGGGAAAGAGTTGATAAAGAAAAGGCATTTTTTTCAGACAGAGTAAGGATGAAATAACCCTACCTTTCAGAGCATGAATCACAGTTCTCAAGCCTAGTTCATAGTGACCAAGTGCAGATTCATAATCTTCGGATGCATGCTGAAAATAAAACACAAATGTATGAATAAGCTTGTGCCAAACAATTCATCAACAGTTTCTAAAGGAGGAGACCTTAAACCTGTTTAACTATAAATGATATCTTTTCAAAAATAGCATCCAACCACCCTTATTTGAGCACCTAAATACATGTATATGGTATGTCCAAGTTTTCTTACCACAACTCTTAAAATCGTGTCCAAGAGAGCATTTACAAGGCTTTTGTTTACAGTATTAGAAAGAAATATTGAGATACTGCAGCTGTCTGAAAATAAAGAAATCCGCTGATGCTTTGAATATAATTTTACTCTCTCTCTCCTTCCAGATACTTCTGTTGTCACTAGGACTGACATATAAATGGTATTTCTTACACCTTATTTTTAAAGATTGAGTTAATATAAAGAAAAGTATTCATGCTTCGGTAAAACTCTGTTACCTCTATCTCTGCTCCTTTAATTACTTTTAATGCTGCAGTCACTTCATCATTACTTTCATACATCTCCACTGCAATAAAACAGAAAGTTAATGAAACTTAAGAAAATGTCTGTAGGCCATGACTGCCCCAGCCATCATGTGAAATATGTTTGAGTGTTTGATAATGTTCTATAAATAGTAACAACAAGTTTGATTTTTGACACCCTGAAATAGGTAGGCATTCAAGGTATTATCATACTTCTAGTTGATAAAGAGGGAAGCAACATGCAGTGACATATGACACACGAACTTGTCTAAGGTATTCTCATCCCTGAAATCTGTATAAAGTTTGATATAAATCTGTGAAGAAATGAAGTAGCTAGAGTGATGACACGGAATCATTTGATAACTTTCTATATAGCAACACTGACCTTGGCCTTGACCTTCAAACTCTGAAACCCAAATATGTCCGAGGTACTATCACACCTGAACCTTTGTATAACTTTTGATCAGAATCCACCAGGAAATAAAGTTGGTAGACTGATGACACTGATCACATGAATAGGTTGATGAATTTCTAAGGCCATTCTGAGGTCACATGACTAGCAGAGTTGTTGTAAAGGGTCAGTCTGAGGACACCTGACTTACAGAGCTGTTGTTTAGGGTCAGTCTGAGGACACCTGACTTACAGAGCTGTTGTATGGGGTCAGTCTGAGGACACCTGACTTACAGAGCTGGTCCATAGGGTCAGTCTGAGGACACCTGACTTACAGAGCTGTTGTATATGGTCAGTCTGAGGACACCTGACTTACAGAGCTGTTGTATGGGGTCAGTCTGAGGACACCTGACTTACAGAGCTGTTGTATATGGTCAGTCTGAGGCCACCTGACTTACAGAGCTGTTGTTTAGGGTCAGTCTGAGAACACCTGACTTACAGAGCTATTGTATAGGGTCAGTCTGAGGACACCTGACTTACAGAGCTGTTCCATAGGGTCAGTCTGAGGACACCTGACTTACAGAGCTGTTGTATAGGGTCAGTCTGAGGACACCTGACTTACAGAGCTGCTGTATAGGGTCAGTCTGAGGACACCTGACTAACAGAGCTGTTGTTTAGGGTCAGTCTGAGGACACCTGACTTACAGAGCTGCTGCAGTGGGTCAGTAGAACTAGATCTTTTCAGAACTTCATTCTTTTTTGGCTTCATCATTGTCTTCAATTCTTCAGCTCTGTCCATGTATTCTTTAACCTGGGAAAATGGAACAAAAACCACACATTTATGCTTAAAAGGAATTTAAAATCAATAACAAAAAAATCAGAGATGAAAAGGTTCAGGTTCCCTTGAGAAGCTATGTACAGCTAATGATGTTCAATAAAACAGCGAAATCATTTTATGATAGAATCTGTTTTGGAAACCACTAATAACTTGCAATGTTTCTCTAAACATATCTGTATGTTACACTTTGAACTCTGTAAAGCGGACCCTGTCCAATCCAGATCTTTGTGTAAATCAGCCAATACAAAATTCTTATTTTTACTTTAGTTATTCTCCTTCTAATCTTGACTCTGCCTACTCTGTCTTAAATCTATATACTCTCAGGTCAGGTATGTGTGTTTTTGCAGTCCTAATTACTAGACAGGAAAGATAGCAGTTGATTTGTCATTCTCAACTTAAACCATGAAGATTACAACTGGATATGTCTTACTTATAATACAATATGACATGTATTTTACCTTTGTCTTAGTGTCATGTCAAGTCTTTGTATTATTATATTACCTCTGGATAAAAGCTTACCTTTTTCCTCAGTACTTCTTTCTTTTCCTTATTTTTCTCATCTGGAAAATAGGGATTTCAAATAACAAAATATAAGGTTTTTGCTTTTAAAAGTTATTTTGATATAAAATAAGAAATACAAATCTATTTCACAGATAATATTTTTCATAATCATATATACAATATTTGACCTAATATCTGTCTGTATATCAGCGCACCCCAACTTTTTTCTGGGAAAGAGGATGGGTGTGCTTAATTAAAACCTGTACAAATATTGCTTACTTCACTGATCTGCAGATATAACCTTTAGTTGTTTGACTAAAGGGTTTGTGCCTTTTAATGTTTACATTACTGAGCAATGTAAGACAGTGGTCTAGTATAATTTTCTGACTCAAGACTAGTCTAGGCTAATTGTCTCTGTAAAGTTACTTGATTCACCATTTGCACAAATGTTTGGGAGGTGGGTTTGAACACAAATGAACACAGTCGGTTTCAGTTTCAGTATGATAGGGATTTATTAAGCACACCACTATTGTGCTTTTGTAAGCACACAGTGCATTTATTAATTAGAATAGGGTATAGCTCTGCACTTTTTAATTTTATTCACAACAAAGAAAATAATAATGAAGTATTGAACACAAGACTTCAATTTGTAAATTGAACATGAATTTAAATGTGATTTAAGTATGTTATACAGTGCATTAGTATCAAAGTAAATGTTTCACCACCATAATAAACTCAAACACAGAAATAGAACCTATCTGCATTTAATTTTTATTTTCATACAGAAACTTAATCATCTTGCCCAATTGCAACTTGATCACAGAATTTGACATTGCTACACAAATAAACAATTAAGCATCAACAGTATTTCATTAAATAATCAGGCAATGTTAACATATACATGTAATTTCAAAGGGATTTGAATACAAGCTTAGAGCTTATATTAAATTCTCTCAAGAAGGGGACACACAGAATGACTCAAACAAAAGACGTGAGTACTGGGTTGTCCTGAACAAAATTTCATGTTTATAGTTTTGGTTGCAGATAACTTTCAACTGTGCTCAACATAAGATATACTTAATAATTTGAATTACTCACGGTGGATGGCAGAAATGAAGTGAGAGAGAGAATCACAGTAGTGTTTTACTGCTGAAGCATAATCCCCTTTCTGGTCGGAAAGTACAGCATCCCGCACGATGGCTACCTGTAAATACACCATAATATTACAATGAAACCTCTAGTACATCAACACTAATCCATCAGGTGAGCTGTTCCACTATCCAGATAAATGACCAAAGAAAATGGAAGGCAGAAATTAACAGGGTGTATTAAAAAATATTTATATAGCAATATTGGTAAAACAGCATAGGTTTCCAAATAAGACTGGGTAGATATAATGTAAGAAAGGAAAGGCTGGGACTAAATACTGAAGCTAGTAAATACAGGGGTCCTGTGTATGCAAAGACTGCTTTTGACAGATTATTCTGTATATTATTTTGTACTGAACTATCTATTTACAAGTTTTATTCACAATATGCCTGTAAGTTGTCAGACAGACCATACATGATTGAACTACACACTTTATAACTTACAGCTTTATCTAAGGATTCATTTGAAGGCATGTGGTCAAGATCAACAAATGGATGATTGAAGAATTCGTCAAAGCTTATTCTCTTTTCTGGATCTCTCTTCAGCATCCGAAGAAGAAGATCCCTACAAGGGTCGGACACTGTCACACCATAAGGAAGCTGAAAAAGAGTGATATTGAAAAGCATGAATATTGAAAAAAAAATTGAAACCATTCTCATGATAATTATTGATAATTATAATGGCTATTTAAGGTATCAATATACGTGGGGTGGGGGTTGGGCAGCTGAGGAATTATATAGCTCATCAGGGTTATTAGATTTTTATTTTGAAATTTTATATTCCAGTCCAATATATCAACTTTCACATGCTCAGAACTTTGAGTAATGGTTCCCACAGATAGGGGATATGGGGAAGAAAATTGATCATTATAAACAATATATGGTTGGTTGGATCTAAATAAAAAAAAAAGTGCAAAGACCTATGCAATGAAGAGATTTTGTTTTGTGTACTACTGATGACATAAGTGGTTTATGATTTTGCGATATCTACATTTCATATTATTTTTTATTGGTCAATTTTCTTGAAATACTATCCGATAATTTGCAATAATGACCAACTTCTGCTATATGTCCATTGTTGCTGTATAATACCATGGTATGTGACGACAGTATTGACACTACTGATAATAAAAAGTTCTTAAAGTCACACTTTGTACTCTTTGGTCCCAGAATAACAACAGTGATCAGTTTGTATCTATTTTCAATATAAACCTCAAGAAATGAGACAAAGTAATATACATGTAAGTACCTCCACTGGTTTTGAATCCCAAATCTTCTCCTGAAGTTCCTTCAGGTTTTTAGAAGCAAAAGGTGCCCGCCCAAATAAACATTCTGTTAAAAAAGCAAGTCCAAACGAAATTCTAATTGATGATGATAAATTCTATGCAACCCTAATAATTTAATTTTCCAAGATCATCAAAAGAAAAATCAAAGAAACTTTTCACAATACTTGTTTAACACAGTTTGACCAAATCTGACATCACAACTGAATATGAAGAAGATAATCAATTTCAAACATTTTGTTTCAACCAATTTAATTTTAGGTTTTGATAATATTTAAGTCTGTACATTGTGTTATACTTTATAGTGCATTTATATCCTTTATCTTGATTTTTGTAATTCTATTTCTGGTGAAAATTTATACATTTTTTTATTAACCTGAAAAATAACAGCAATACATAGGTAGTAACAAAAAAAAATCATCAGGAAATGTGGCATTATTAAACCTTGTAAAGGTTAAGTATCTAAATTATCAGGAAATATTTATTCATCAAATATTGAAGATGGACCTGAACTTGAATGATTCTAATATTTTCTGGCTGCAAATGAATATATGAATAAATATTAAATCTCATAATTAAGGGAGACTATTCTGTTAAATCAATTCCCACAGAATGCTTACCATAAAGAATGACCCCTATAGACCAGATGTCGACACGAGCATCATATATTCCTTTACAGATGATCTCTGGAGCCATATACAAAGGCGACCCCCTCATTGCGTGCAGTTCATCACCATGGAACATGTGCTTAGCAAAACCAAAATCTTAAATATAAAAGCAAACATACAGGAAATATCAAACTTTTCTTAAATAAATTCAGTGATTTTGGTAGGATAAGGTAGGATAAGGTCATTCCATAAAATCATTTCAAAATCTTGAAAAGTCCTGTTACTGACATAGGTATATTTGGTTCTCACAATTTGGGCAAGTCCCAAAGGACTCAAATATATCTGTGTCAAAAATCCTTGAAACAATCTATGAATTATATTTACATACAAACTAAACCTTAGTTACCTGTGTGTTTTAGAAACTGTTTACCTATGACAAATTTTGCTTATTATAGACCAGAACATAAAGAATAGTTCAGTGTTTTTTCTCTCTGTTAACTTAAAAAATGATGTCATGTATATTAATTTTCTTACCTGCAATTCTGAGATATGGATTTGCAGGTGAAGACATGAGAATATTCTGTGGTTTGAGGTCCATATGGGCCACATTGTGTTCCCTCAAGTACCTCATAGCTTTGACTGAAAATAAAAATATGTAACATTAAATCTGTTTTAATTACAGCCATTGTCAATTTATATGTTATCAAGATCTAATTTTTCATCAAAATGTGTATGTTCGAAAGTTTAAGAATGCAAAAATAGCATTTTTTTTTTTATTAAACATTTTTTAAATGACAAAACTTCCCCTCAATATCTTATATTTAAGTTCTTACTTATAGTTCATATAATGAAAGAAAAGAAAACAATTTTATCTTCCATGTACATTACATAATTCAATGTACATGTACCATAGAAATCAATGTTCCCAAAAAACTAATTAAAAACAAAACAAAAAAAAGACATCAGTGTGTTGAAAGCTTTCCCTCTTCATATAATTAGTCTCAAAGATGCTGACAGATACACATGTCTTATACCCAATATATTTCTATAATTATCACTAGCATTTAACCATTGCTATGGGCAGTCTCTTATACCAATTTGCTGGAGGAAACGTTTGACTATGTATTCAGGCAGGGCCCTTTTGGAGCGTATAAAGTGGGACAGGTCTCCCCCACTGTAGTACTCCATGATGAGGTAGATACACTTATCATCCCACTGAAAAATAGAAGTGGAATATGACAATTAGCAGCAAACTGTAAATTAGTTTCTTTTAAACATGTACATATGTAGTATGCAACTTCCATTTCTTTTCCACCAGATTTTTATATTGATTAACTTGTAAAATACATTTTAAAGGTGATGTAAACTTGCATAGTTTTCACAAGGTCAAATGAAGTTATGAAAAAGCAAGAATAAGTCGCTTCACCGAAAAGCAGTAATATACATACATTGTATTTACATATATAGTAATTTTCTACCATTAGATCTGCCACCACACAAAAAATATCGAACATTTTTACATGATAATTCTTCTTCACTTTAAAAATCATGATATATACAAACCCGAAAATCTTTGAGTTCCACGATGTTGTCATGCTTCAATTTTTTCAATAGTTCTATTTCTCGTAGTAAATTCTCTGATGAGGCTTTATTTAAAGATGATCTCAAAACACACTTGACTGCGACAACTTCTCTGGTACCATGCTGTAAAAATAATTTAACACAATTCACTTCACTTAATTAAGTTAATGTCATATAATTTAATGTATCTTTCCACTTCATATGCCTTTTGAAAAAAAACAATCCTTCTATAAAATCCATGTAATATATGTGCGACCATATTGATAAGGTCCAAATTGTGTAATAGGGAGTATACGTAGTAATCGTGAGTAATATATACCAATACTGGGAATCAAACTACCGCCCATGACTCTCCAGTCAGACGCTCTACCACTACAAGTTCAATTTTGCCTGAGATAGTATGGCGATTTTGACAATATGACACCCTCTAGATCTAGCTCTAAAGTTTTTTCACTGTACATGTAATTTTGATGGATAATTGATTTAAAAATAATATGCTAGAACGTTAAGGAAGAATGCGATTAATGTAAAGCTTTTAGTGGCGTGTATAACAAAAATGAACTGGTAGCGTTTATGCAAGGTTAGGTGTTGTCTTGTTATCAAACCCTATGGGTAATGCAGACGATGCAAGTTATCGGCGACACTGACAGGTGACGATGAGTCAACAGCAATAATTTGTTTCCTATTAATATTGCGTGCAATTAAAATGAAAACAGTGATATAATTTATGATCGGGTACCTTTTTGTAAGCTTTATACACCGTAGCATAGGAACCACTGCCAAGCTTCTCAGTAAAGACGTATCCGTCTAGTTTCGGTTGAGAAATGATTGAAGCTGACATCGGTCGAGCCATTCTCCATGTTGTTATTTTCGTTTTGATTTTTCTACCTCCAAAGCTGAAGATTTTCGTAGCAGGTGCTCGCAATCGCAACTTCTCGGCCAATTCCGGCTAGGCGCGGAATCATACGAATGTTTATTTAAATTGGGGATAAAAAATCTAACAAAATTAATAAGGCGCTCATAATTTGACACCGTACTCGTTTATTTTGCAATGCTTTCAACAATCAATCATTAAAATTATAAATAACTTTATACAACTCGGTCTAACGAGATTTCAGAAATATTGTTTAAAAATGGCGGCAAAGGTTGGCAATGTAACTAGGGAAAGTTGTTTACATCGACTATTTTGTAAGTGTTTTTTATATTTGACTTGACATATCATTTTGATGTTATAGACTGTATTTTTGTGAATGCGTTTCCAAATGTAATTGATTTCTTGCCGACAACAATATATTAACCAAATACTTTGTATCACCTTTTCTAAAACTCCCTTGTGAATTCATTTTTTGGCACATCATCAATAACATCTACCATGTATCCGGGTTACTTCCCACCGTAAAACCTGTTTCTTTTGCTAAATTATACTGTTAATAAATGGATATTTGTAAAAGTACACTAAAAGTTGTAATTTTAGCCCATTATATAGCCGTGAATTATATTTATAAGACTACATTCATCTAGGCCTATTTATTTTCAGTTTTATGTCACTATATGTGCTTGATAATGTAAAATATCACAATAATTTTCTAAATGCCGACGATCGACCCAGTCCAGTTTCGCAACATTCCTCCCTCCTTTTTCTAAGTCTTCGCCCCCGAAGACACAACTATTTACAACCCAGGTTTGGGTATCCCCCTTGCCAAACATACACCAAATGCTTGAAACAACGGTTGGTCACAGGCACCACTGTAACAGGAGAGGAAAAATGCACAGCCAAACCGGGGTTCGAACTCGGGACCCTCCAAACTCTAGACGGACGCTCTACCAATTGAGCTATCTTGTCGCCGGCAATCGACCAAGTCCAGTTCCGCTACAGTAGCATTTCTAGAAAATATTCAATCTCCAGATAGGGAAGCTTATTTATGGCAGCCTATTAATGTCAATTTAAAACAAAATCTGTTTTAATACATTAACAATCTCGTTGCAACCTGTTAATTTCATTACATGCATTAGTTATCACATTAAAAACTGGGTCACTGATTTGTTTTAATGAGATAATTATCCTATTTTGATAAGTATTGTGTTTTAACTTGCTGTCGCTTTTAAATGAGATAACCAATGCCTTTTAATGAGGGTTGTCAATGGTTAACCAGTTGCTCATTCGGACAACCTCAAACTGGTTACCAAAATCAATAATCAAATATTTGAATATTTATTAACCCCATCGGGTGCTCCATGTTTACCTGGCTTATGCCTGCAAATTCTCTACGATGAGATCAAAATCGGATTATTAAGGCAATTAAAATAATGCTCAGACTGACCTGTTCAAGGGTGTTATTTTTATATTTGATTTTAAAGATTGACAAAGAGAATCCGCCCACACCATAAAAATTAAAGCATGAACAGATTTTAAAGGGTGCCGGAATGCAAAGTTGAGAAAACAGATCTTCAAAACTATTACCTCTTTAAATTTTGCACTTGTTACGGTTTTCTCGGTTCTTGCCATATAGACATTAACAACAACATATGACTAGCAATGACAAAACAGTTCACTCAGGTTTATTTTGGCGAATGAAGTATTTACATAGGTGATGAGGTAGAAGTAGCTATTTACATATATTAACAAAGGCTTCTTCACCTGTGCCGTGGTACGTGCGGCCGCTACACCGGTATCACTTTCCTGGCGTGCCCACCATGCCCCGCGTCGTGCCAATACCCAAGCAGTACCGCTCGTCCCTAGTCTCCTGTTATGCCGGCAATTTCGTATCAGCAAGTGTAGCGAGGTCCTTATTCCAAAATTATAATATTAATTACTTTGTCGTCTTCCAAGAAAAGAGAAAAAGATTGACCCAGGGCCAGTGACCGCTGGTCTTATATAAAATGAAATAACCTAAATAATCAAGTTGTATATATATATACACAATTATATATGGAAAATATAAGTGAAGGTTGTGATATCATGGTTGACTACAAACGATAAAAACTACCCCTGTTACCTGTATGTACACTGGATATAGCATGTCAAGCACATTACGGTTACATGACATTGTATAGTAATTATAAGAGGCACATTTATGACACATTGACTGTATTGAGCCATTTAAGTCAATGTAGGATAAAGAATATTCTATTTATCTAAGTTACAAAAGCTGCTGAATATATAAGTCCCTCCCCCCTTCCTTTTTCTGGTCTGGGAGTCTAATTCCTTCACCAACTTACTGTTACATGATCAAGGAATTGTCTGCAATTTTTTTCGAAGGTTCTGGAAACATCTTAATTTGCCCAAAGGACTTTTTTTTTTTTTTTTCAAATTTATAACAATGCAAATATATCATGCATAAACATTATTCCTCTCACACGTAACAATTCATTCATCAAATATTCATTTATAATAAACTGCATATTTCCAGGTATAATTAATAATTAATTATGTTTATGGATAATTAAATTCCAGCTAAATTGTGTCCGTTATATAAAAGCATTGTTTAGAAGTGATAGAAAAGAGGTTAGAGCAGTTCCTACGGGTATAGAAGGGAAAGTAAGACTAAGAGAGAGAGAAAAAAAAGAGGG